GCTCGGTCCGTACAAAAAAGACCGAGGGCCGATATTCTTCCAGTACGGTCCCGAGCAAGCTTGGTTAATAAGAGATTTATTATACGACTGTAGTTCAAAGGGACACAAGTGCGGTATCATTCGGGACCATTCGGGACCATTCGGGACAGTATTGGCCCTCTGACTGCCCGAGTCGGGTAATGATTAGGAGTACTGAATGCCCTAACTATTTATTTTTGGACCGCGGTTAGGACTCGGGAGGAAAGGTGCGTTTATACGCAACCTTAAAACTCATGAATTTCAGTAAAACTTAGGGCTCTGTCACTGTAGTGATGTTAGAGTATCATGGGCGACATTTTGTTAACCTGGGTTCAACTACTCTTACTGTAAACGAACAACGATGTACAGTACATTGGTTACTTTCTTTCTCTTTCATAAGTTTGTTTTTGGCGAAGAGTTGTTTGAGATTGATGTGGGTTCGTCATTGATGGATTATTATGCTGATTTATCTAAATTTTGTTAATTTTTTTCCATAATTGAATTTACTCACTCTTTATCTGTTTTATTTTGGAATCACGACAGTGAACCTTTCAGGTATGTTTTTTTCACACGTAGGTTGCCTTTATTATAACAGCTGTGTTTTGTTCACGAGTATTGTTTTCCATAAACTTAAGGAGCACTGGAATTAAATTTTTTTTTCAATTCTTTTCCCGTAGCTTCAGGAAGACCCACTTCAGGTATGTTGCTCATTTTTCACTGTCCATAAAATAATTAGAATCGCTCTGAAAAATATTATCACCGTTTGTATTGGTCTAGTGACGGTACCTCCGTGCGGCATTTAATTTTTGTCTTGAATTTTGACACTAAAATAAGTCAGTTTGTACAATTTGTCAGACTATATACAATTTTAGTGTTGAACAATCGATTTTTCTGAGTTTATTAAATGGAAAACGGAATTAAATCCAAATGGTTAGGTTGTCAACGGGTGTTGTCAGGTACAGGTAAATAAAGGCTGATAGTTTCTAAAGAAACTGTTTGGGGCTGCGTCGGTGGGGGTAACGAAATAATTTGAATCTATCAACAAAGTTGAAATGATANCCCAAACGATCCATTAAGATCACCGCTCACTTCACGTGCACCTCCGCCAATGTAATCTATATCATAACTTGCACTTCTTACAAAAAGATTTACATCGGCGAAACAGGCAGAAGACTAGGTGACCGATTCCGGGAACACCTTCGCGACGTGGATAGGAATGACAACGACACATCGAAACCAGTCGCTAGACATTTTAATTTACCTAATCATTCTAAGCAAACATATGGCAATCTGCGGTCTTTCCTTATACTTAGGTAGCACGGAGAGCCGTAAAACTCTTGAACAAAAGCTCATCTTTCAAACCGGCAGTCTAAATGCCACAGGTATCAATTAACGCTTTTTATTCCACTAATTTATTCGTGTTTTTCTTGTTGCCATATTCCCACCAATAACGTAGCTCCGTTTTCTGCCTTTAAAAGCACACACAACCCACAATTCCTCTGTTCGCTCCGACGAAGGGCTAACGCTCGAAACGTCAGCTTATATAATCGTAACGGTGGCAAATTTACCATTTCAACTTTGTTGATATATTCAAATTACAAGTTAATAAGTTCGTTGCTTCAAAATGTAATTTTGAAATCCGTTTATTTGTCTTTTACCAAGTACAGTACCTACCTATTCTGGTCTCAAGTTATACTTCAAAAACATTTAGGAAGTGTCATTTTGTTGAGGGTTACATGCTAATTAAACTAATTGTAGCTCAGATTATAGCTTTTTACCTTGAAATTTTGCACCAACCATTTTATTTGAATTGTGTTTTTTTCTTCAACACAATAGCGCATTCAACAGGTCCGAACACAGGTTAGTGAAGAACTCTTGTGTTTTCTATTAGAATTTCCATGATGTGTTTAAAAATGCCCTTTTTCGGCTTGTTTGAAAAAAACATCATTTGCCCTTTTTCGGCTTGTTTGAAAAAAACATTTCCTTCCAATGCCATTGTAGAATCAATGATCGGCTAAACGCATTCAAAGCAGCATTGAGAAGAGTGGTGCTCTCTTAACTTTACATCCATGTTCTTGCATGTGATAACAATTGAATATGCTATTTCCGAATTACGTTTGGCCTCTCTTTCAAAACGAGGCCTGGTAAGCAACGGTTCGTATGAAAATAAGTTTAATTTGCATGTGAATGAAAACTTGTACTCATATGAAAGGGTATGCACCTGGACTCGCTCTGAAAAAGAGGCCGAAGGTAATTCGGAAATGGGTTACTGTAATTATTGTTTTTTTTTTCGTCGGTGTGCTGTACTCTGCTGATAGATATCCTTAAAGACTACATTTGACCAGATTCTGATATAGACACAAATTCTGTAAAGTTAGTTGACCTCTTTGATTCCCCCCACATTTTTTCACCTCCCCCTTCCCCCGTTCCGATCGTTGTAAACCATCAGTAAGTTTCTACTTCTGAGGTTATCCATTGCTTCGTTTGTTGACGCCATCTTGTTGAATCCTTTGAATTGTTAGGTCCTGACTCTTTCTACGCATGTTATTTTCCGGAAAACGAGTGGTTCAAGCTCAAAGTGGCTTCGGTCGTGAATTTCTTCAGGAACAATGGCTACCAAGTGGAGATGGATGTAATGAATTCCTGCGAACTCTCTAGTGGACCAACTCGTTGGGCTGAACAACAAATTCGGCGAGCTCGAAATGTCCTTATATTTCTGTCTCCGGGACTTTTGCGTCTTGCTGGCGTTATTGACGATGATCCGGAATCTCATCAGGTATCTAAAAAAATTATCCTAACAATCAGAATCTAGCTGGGTGTCCGTACCCTTACTCTGTTTTAAGGTTTTTTTATGGTTTAATTTTAATTGGCCAGTTGGTAAAATTACCAGTACAACTCTCCTTACCTTCAGGACTAGAAACAAGTTTCCCCAGAAAGGTATCCGGTCAATTCGCCACAACAACAAACTCGCCACCACACAACTTTGAGTGGTGGCGAGTTTGTTGTTGTGGCGAATTGACCATAAACCCCCCTGAAAAGAAGTGTCGCTTGAGTGAAGACCGCAAATACGTTGGAGCCTCCTTCAGGGAATACACTTGTAGCTTAAACTGGTGCCCCATGAAAATAGGAGCATGTTCCGAAAGAGTAATTGCACCGTACCGAAATTTTGAATATATATATAGATACTTTATTTTATGTCTGCATACTTTTATCCACTGCGCTTGGCTCCCGTTTATCAACACTCTTGTTAGTTGTCCCTTTTTTTCGATAGGGTATAAAAAAATGTTTCATAATTTTTATTTTCAGGAACACGAGCGCGTTTGGTATGAACTTGCTTTGCTTAAGAAAATTTTCTTACAGACTCACTCCGCAAGTAAAATGGTGTGTATCGCCCTACCAAATACAAGTATTAAAGCACAGGAACTTCCTCTGTGGGCTGAGTTGATCTATAAATGGCCAGAGGACGAACAGACAATTCTCAAACGATTAAACGACAAACCTATTATCCAGCCCTGGAAGTGCTAAAGATGCAGGCATTTTGATAAATGATTTGCCATCTTGTTTTTTATTTTGTTATATAGGTACTGCTGAAATACCAGGATTTCTCCTTTTACTAAAAACTCACATCTTCACCGCGCGCAGTGAAGATAATATTTTTATCTTTCACGTGTTAGGATATTGGTGTGGTCATGGTGACCAACATAATTACCCAATTACAATAGAGCTTCTCGCTCAGGCGCGCGGTCGGTTGATTTGAAATTTCATTCACAAAATGGCCTCGAGGTGCGAAGACATTAGAGTTACCGGTGACTTTCTCGATGAGCTGCCAAATTTTCACATCGATATTTTTCGTGGAAATTTCATCAGTATGTATGTAATAAACAGAACATTACATGGCCGCGAGGGGATACGAATTTTATCTTCACGTGCTGAAAGTATCTCTCACGAGTGAGCGCAGCGAACGAGTGAGAGATACTTTCAGCACTTGAAGATACAATTCGTATCCCCTCGCGGCCATGTAATATCCTCTATGTGTAAGGGAGCTTGGGCATCACTTCAATGTCGAAAGCGTTGAAGAAAAATGCCGGTGTATTTGGTGTTTCTTTTCTTCGCGAAGATTGACGCGATTATTATCGTTTTCATGATTCAGGGCTTGATTATATTTAATTTACTTGTTGTCTTTTTGCAATCAGTTCCTTGTCAATTAAGGAGACTTCTCGATTCTCACTAAGTCAGGTAGGCGGCCGCGTGGCCGTTCAAGTATTTAATGGTCAGATGGCGAGAGAGTTAATAAGTCAGTTTCCTTCAATCAGTTTGGTCAGTCAGTCAGTCTCCTTGAGCTTATTGGTCGAAAAATCGAACCATTATAATTTAAATTAAAGTTAACCGTACTATTTGCTGCTGCGAATTCTCGGTTTACATCAGGTTATATATATGTAGTTAGCACGGGTCATTATTTATCGCTAGGGAGGGGGGAGGGGGGGTCGGAGGATTTTGGTTGTGTCTCAGTTATATTTACCTGGTTCCCCTCTAAGCCTCTATAGTATTGTAATGATCCCCCCCTATCATTGGCAGTTAATTTTCTATAGTCCTGTAACTCTGTTAGAGACGACTGATCCTTCGTTCCCCCTGAAAAGCCATGTGATACTCCCAAAATCCTCCTTCCCCCCCCCCCAGGGAATAAAAAAAGGACTGGTTTCGTTCATTCAAAATTTGTTGTGAAATAAACACATCAATGAATATTAATATATGTATCCTTTAAGCCGGCATCTGTATAAGATTGACTGATTTCCCTCATGCGTTCTATATTCTGTTCCGAGGTTATATCCAAGTTGTAATGTTCCAATTTCTTTTCGGTTTTGATCCTTTTAAAACGACAGTGGTTTGCGTCTCGCGCGAAAATTGAGCTCGGGTTTTAGCTTTCTACGCGAAACCGGCTTTCCAGGTTTCGGTCCTTTTAGTTTCTAAAGACACGTAAAACTCCCCGTCTAAGTTTTCCAAAAAATCATTAGGCTCAACAAATGTTGCTCTGTTTTCGCTTACCAGACAAACTGAGGTACTACATTGTTAGTACGACTGTATTTCCAATACCCACGTATTTTCACATAATTCTGAGAAACGGTTTATTTTTCGGTCAAATTCTAAGAATTTTCTAAGATAAGAAGCTATAGATATTAGTCACAAGTCAATCAATACCGTAAAAGCTGGTGAAAAGCACGGTCTTCATTGGTCCTTTTTGATAAGATTATCATATTTTCAACCAAGGGTGCATGATTGCTATGATTCCGCATGTATTGCATTACTCACGAACTGATATGATGCTTCTATTGTAACGCATGTAATAATACTGGTATCCGAACAATGGTGGAAGGAATTGAAATTTAAACTGAATTACGCAGCTTTGGGAATATACAAAGAACCGCATAAAGGCTTCATCGACCAGCTGGCGTACTCAGTAAGATATTTTTGCCAGGGATATTTCTTGCTTGTGATACAGTTTGTCTTCTGACGTGAATCGTATCCTCAGCGGGTAAAGTTCATCGCGAAGAAGCTTGAAGCTTAAAATTGAATGTCTGCTGGATAGTTTTCATGTCATTTTACTCACACTTTTGCGAGTTTCAACTTTTAGATTGTAGAAAGAGCATTGTGATGTTGTCGTGACAGTATTTGTGTGCATGACTTAGAGCACTTCTGCAAAATCAAGCATTTCGCTCAACCCGTACGTTTTATATTCTGCCGTAATTGAAGCCAATTTAACACGAAGAACTGACTGCTCGACGCCATGGCCTTTGAAGTACTGTTAGTGTTTTTGGCCATGTTGATGGTTACTGAGACAGAACGAGCGAAGCATTTACCTACAAAACGTCGATTGTGCCTTTGCGCAGATCGCGTGCTTCCATTGCAATCATTCCCAGAGGACAAGGTAAGGCAGCATTTTGGTTAAATGAATCAATAAACCAAGGTTAATGAGTATCTAAATGAAATTTTGCAATGACTTGGGGATTGAGTTAGTTCCCTATGATACAAAGCTAAGTGACTTTCGTGAATCGATCGCGCTTGTCGTGCACAAGCTTAATCTTAAACGAGTAAAATTTCTCGTCCTAAAGATAGATATTCAAACAAAGTATTAAAAGATTTGGTAGCAGCTTTGTGAGCTGTCGATCGATGTGTTTTATTAAAGACTTCCGCTAAGACTATTGAAGAAACATGTTTGAAAGGAAGGAATTTATAATTATCCGGAACGAAAGTTAAAGGCGATGAAAGTTAGGGGTTTGTAACCGAGGGTTTATTTGCTTATTGATTTCGACAGTTGAAGCGAAGCACCACTCTCTTAAAGGGTAACAGTTTCAAAATTTGTAGAGAGACATAATTGCCTCTAGCTTTGAGGCATCTTAAGGTACAAAACGATGCCTTCCAGAACATTTGAACTGCTAGAATGATGTTGTATAGTTTGGAAAAGACAAAGTAGGCCAGAAATCAGATACTCTACGTATCTTGAGCATCAAAATCCTTACATTGAATACTAGGTTTTGTCATGTAGAAAAGCTAGAAGTAAATTCAAGTTTAGAGGAGTTTGGCAATACCGTGCACTAATCCGCTACAGTTATTTTAGCTTGTGACGTACTGCGGAGGTTTATGAGGTCTTGTCGGAACACGAACTCCATCTGGCGAAGTTTCTACCAAAGACATTAAATTCTTTACTTTGGCGGAGTTTTATCTTAAGTGAGTTTTGTGCTTTCAAGGTTGTGTAAGAAGTACACAGTTGCGATAAGTGTTTTCTCAACAACGTAAGAGAATAACTAACACCTCTGCGATCAAAAGGTCACATAAAATTTGCTCGTACCAGCGCGTCTCATCGGCGCACTTCTATTGTCTGTGACCTTGGCAAGAAGAGAGATTTTCAAGAATTTCATCGAAGTTGTTATCCCTGTCACGGAACTGTGCTCATAAGTATAATTTGAGGGGTTTTCAGTGGAACTTACGGCATTCGTCTTAACGAAATTGCGGATAACTCTTGTTCGATTAGAAGACTCAAAATTTCCCTCGATGGCGAATGTAAAATTTACGAGGGACAGGATTGTTTAATAAAAATCTCTATCCGGCAGAGAAGATCCACTGTTTTATGCTATTTGGCTAGAGGCTGGAAAAGTAATCATGTACGAGGGTTCGAGAGTAAATCATACAACGTGAAGCGAGCTCGGGTATTTCTAAAGTGATGAGTCTTCGGGAATTCTCTTTGTTGTGTGATTATATAAATACGCTGCTTGGAAAAGAAAAAAGAAGTACACATAGGGAAAAATAAGAACATACATTGAGGGAGAAAGTTATGGGAATATGGGCGGAAACTGTCATACCAGTATTGATTTCTTTAAACAGGTACAATATATATGTATTTAGTTCGTTTGAGGATCATATGTATCCCATAAATATTTCCGCCCACGAATATTCCCAGGAGCAGAGGAGCAGGGGGGGTCCTAGCTCTCCCAAAATTTTAGGGGATACAGCCTGTCCACGTTTTGGTACCGCAGCGCCGCTAACGTAGCATAAAAACTGGCAAGATATTCAATCTCGTGATTTTTTCACAAATCCTTCTATCAGCATCGCTCTTGGCGAAATGGTTCCGACCTGCGTTCGGAAGCTTATCAACTGAAGCAATTATAAATTAAACTAGACAGCGCGTCTTTAGGAATTAGACATGATTTGATTTTGTCTGTGGGAGTCCAATCGAATGTCAAGCTGAAAGATTTTAGACAGTGCTGAAAAAAACTGAAAGTAAGTCACAAATCGATAAGTCTCACTCGAAACTGTAAAGATTGCAAAGAGATTTCATGATGTGCCAATGAACAACGCAAAGTGTATGTTGGAAAATATGATCAGGCGTAGGCGCATGTCTGGGTAAAAGATAACCCCCCCCCCCCCACGTTTCAAAACGCTCCAGTGCCCCTGATATCATTTCATTTGTACCCACAATTGTTACGGTGGTCATCCCCTAAAGTAAAGATGACGCCATGAAGATAAAATTCCTTTTATGGATTGCCTTTTTGTACAGGAATCTGCTTTCATCTCGTGTGAACAGTGGTGCAGTACCAACGATCTTTCAGGTAACAGGCTGACTTTGATAACAACTTCATAATTTATTACGTAGCTCTTGATGCGTCCTAATGAAGGCAGAACGTGATTTGGTGTAAGCAACCAACCGACAAACCATCAACTAGCGAGCCAAACAAACAAACGAACGACCAAACAAACTGTCAAACAACCAAAATACAATCAAACAAACAACCAAACAATCAAACATAAAACAAACAATCCAACAAACAAACAAACAAAAAAAAACAACCAACCAAACAAAGAAACAAACAAAAACACAACCAAATAATTTGGATATATCAACAAAGTTGAAATGGTAAATTGGCCACCGTAATGATTACAAAAGCTGACGTTTCGAGCGTTAGCCCTTCGTCGGAGCGAATAGAGGAATTGTGGGTTGTGTGTGCTTTTAAAGGCAGAAAATGGAGCTATTAATCTTTCAAACCGGCAGTCTAAATCCCACAGGGATCAATGAACGCTTTTCATTCCACTAATTTATTCATGTTTTTCTCGTTGCCATGCACCCACCAATAACGTAGCTCCATTTTCTGCCTTTAAAAGCACACACAACCCACAATTCCTCTATTCGCTCCGACGAAGGGCTAACGCTCGAAACGTCAGCTTTTGTAATCATTACGGTGGCCAATTTACCATTTCAACTTTGTTGATATATCCAAATTATTTCGTTACTCCCACCGACGCAGCCCCAAACAGTTTCTTTCGAAACTATCAGCCAAAAACACAACCAGTTCTCATTTTGGTGTTTTTAACGTCCTTGTAAAAACAATATACTCAAGAAGTATGTTTGGTAAAACCAACCAGCCATCCGAAAAAGAAACTAACAAACGTAAACATAATCTAACCAACGAAAAAACCAAAGATTGGAGGGGAATCTTCTGTTTTAAGGTTACGTCACTCAGTTGATTAGGCTCACAATTAATCAAATAGTCATAAAATTAAAATAAAAAATCTTAATTGCCTAAAGTTGTGGAAGGATTCTATGAAGACAGGGAGACCTAAAAATCTCATCGTTAGGCAAAATAAAGGCAAGATTAATTAATATTCCTGCTAGTTGCGCTTTTTAGACATTGTTTGAGTCGAAAGCGTATAATCTTGCACAAATTTAAATGCGGTTATGATATTTGCGATCCATGACCGTAATGAAATGATACAACTTTAATTCTATAGGAATGATGTCGCATGGTTCCTCAAGTCATCTCCGCACACGACGTGATGACGTGCAACAGTTCACAAGTATGAATTTTAAATATATTACCATAGCAGTTTATGTCAATATGATAACTGATCAAAACTAGGACAAAATTCTCCAACGTAATTGGTTATGAGCAGCTCAATGTTAGCTCTGGTAGCACTGTCTCATTTTACACTCCCTTTTAATCAGGCTCGTTTTCTAGTAGAAAAAGTTACTGAAATGAAAACTTCAATAAGTACTCCCCAAGGGCAGAGAAGAAATTAGACATGGTAAAAACTGCCATTTCCAGCACTACAAAATTACTGAGATCCAAGACTACATCATTCAAGGGCACTGCAGTGATAATGATAATGATAATAATAATAATAATAATAATAATAATAATGGAATAATAATGGCGGCGAGTAGTGGGGACGGGTTCTAGCGGCTCCGTTAGTAATCTTGTTTATCGTAAAAGCAAGCCAAGTTTAGAGCGCTATTATACATCTGGACAAGTACGTGTGCACTTTGGAAATTGTCAAACTGAACAGGAGAGACATTTGGTGTCCGGCTCTAAACGCAGGAAAATCAGTCAATTATTATAGTTCATAGTCCTTTCATGCAGATAGGCTACGAATTTTCGCCCTATCTTGCTTAGCTCAATAGCATCCAAACGTGTATACTGCATAATAATAAACTTTAATAGGTACTCCCCAAGGGGCTTTTCAGTATCTATTTTCATAACTTCATTTGATTAATAATATCAAAAACTAATGACTATTTACATTAATATAACTAATTATATCAAAACTAATATCTGTTTGCAAGAATGTGACTCTTAAGTTTCTCCTTAAATGCCTTGAGGAAGGCGCACTGTCTTAATTCAGGAAAATAGATTGTTTCAGAGCCACGCCTCTCTAAAGACAAAGGACCGCTGACCAGACTTCACAGTTTCGTGTCCTACGATTACTTCATTTGTTCTCGGTTGTTCGAAGGGTGGAAAACGTTATTTTTTTAACGCTTATCCGGTGGATAGCTTTATCTGCCTGATCTTTTTTTAATGTGAATACTCCTAACCAATGGATATTTTTTTATCGATTCTTTTCGGTTTTATTGTCATTATGTATAGTGTGACCTACTACGAAGTTTCCCTTTTGGTAATTTTCTTTTTGTCCCCATAGATTGTCCTGCCGGACTAGACCGTATCGATGAGAAATGGCATATCAAGAAAGAAAACATAAGAGCACATTTCTATGATATTGAAGGCAGCTCTAAATGGCTTGTTGAAGTGTCCTGGAGTCCATTTGAAGGTAAATTTTCAGTTAAGGTCGTCGTTAAATTATGAATTGTTCGATTAAACTGGAACTTCAAAATGTGCCCCGAAAATTCTACTATCTCTTTGAAACTACCATTAAAATATGAATATTGGCATCAGAGCATGGAATTGCTATAACTCGTTTGAATCTGCGAAAATTGATTTCAGACTGAGTGAAGTCTACAAAGTTATATTTTGATTAAGGATGGAGCGAAAAGAAATAGGACAAACCATCTAGATCAATTTAGCCAACGGCCGCGACGCGACAGACGCCGACGCTATTTTGAATTATGTTGATAGCTCCATGTCCTTAGGTGAAAATATCGGCCCCTGTACCACCCCCCAGATATTTGAACTGAAGACAGCGGCAAGACTGTGGGGACAGAAGCAAATGTAGTAGGGGAAGTAAGGGATAAAATGAAAGGTCTAACAAAGTTGAACTCACTTTTTTAAACTGCAAGGCTACAAAACTGTTGATGGAAACTCGTTTTTTTTCAGGTGGCACCAAAGGCTGGGATAATTATTACATGAGGTACTTCACTGGAGGAAATCGTATATATCAGAATTACTCCTGCCTGATGCTTCCAAAGGTATATTTTACATTAATACTGCAACTGATGGTTTTGTTGCCTTTAAGATCACTTAATATTACTAAAGGAATTTCTCTTGAGATTCACTGTTTAGTTTTAGGAAGATAATCAATGAGCCTTGAAAGTATTTGGTAATTTATGAAAAAAGAGAAACTCTAAAATTGAAAGAATGAAACCAAAAAGAAACGGTCAGTGTCACTCATGCAATAAAATTTACCCGATCGCCTTATAAGGCTGTATCATTCAAATGATACCCCCGCCCCCCCCGGCACGGCAGTCAATTTTCCACGATCTCCCACCCTCCCCCACAGGTGGTGTTGAGAACGACTCAATAAATCCGCGGTTAAACTCAACGTTTTACTTAATTTATTTAGACTAAGAAAAACCCTCCATGGCGAATACTCGATCTACAGCTACACAGGGCAAAAACTCGAACTAAGTAAAAGTACTTGACATTTGATCCCTGTCACTCATTTCTAAATACGGTACATGTAACACAACGTCACGTTCTCCTGAACAGGTGGTAAATATTGACTGGTCGGTAACCGTTTGTTGAGTGACGAGGATATGAGTCTTTTTTTTTTCTTGTTTCTTTCTAGAACCGAACAAGTGTGAACATCACTTCCTCACTCCAACCGAGGAAAATCACTCTAACTGTAAGCCTAGAACTTTTTAAATGTAAACTTAAATCCTTTTTAAAGCTATAAATTTATGGGTTTTTTTTTTGTTTGTTGTAGTTTTTAGGAGAGTTTTATTCATAGGGTTAACCTCTTGACTCTCCCTTTCAAATTTATGTAGTTATATATGAGTTTGAATAAACATGTATGTTATGTTAAGAAGGCGACGTTACTTTTTAGCTGACCATGACTCATTGCTGAATTGCTTATTTATTTTTTAAATCCAAAGTTATGAAACTAATGGAATAGCTTACTTTTTTTTCTTCATGATTCTTCTTATTTTCTTCCCTGAATTCGGGAGTCTTCACTTACAATCCCATAAACCAACTTAATTTGTTTTGGAAATATTCTCCATTTATAGTTTTTATGCTCCCCATTTGAGGGTTTACGAAGTTTCGCGCAAAGTGCTGTTTCTTCTCAAATGAGTCTTGCCACTTTATTTTTGCAGGTGACCGCTCTTCCAAACCCAAAGGATATACCTAGCGGAGGAATGCCAAATTTGGTTTTAGAGCCTTTTACTCCACCTCAGATGCGTAGCCCTCGTAAGTACGCCGTGTTGGCCTAATGTGAATCCTCTGAGAGCCGCCTCACTTCTATAACTGACATGTGAAAAACGATTACTGCACCTCGACACTATATACGGCATAAACTTGACGATGTAACTGACTTAGATTTAATCCTCTTAAAAAATGACTTTGTTTCCGTGTACATCGAATTTCTGGTAGGTTCCATCTTTAACCTGACAGCTAGCGACGAGAGAAAAGCAGTGAAGTTCCCCTTTTTTTTTTGACCAACTAAGTACCTCGGTAAATTGTTCTATAACTGTCTTTCCTATTATTTATCAGTTACTTACAACATCATTCGGTCAATTCGAAAAGGGTGTACTGAAGTCATTGTATTATTGTGACCTCGAAGAAGAGTTATCAAACACCCCCTCTATGCGAATAAATTATAGACATTTTTATTTGAGAATGCGTTATTTTCATTTTCAGTCGAATACACTCCTGCAGTTGTTTCTGTCCACTTGACATTAAAACCAACATCAGAGCGTAAGTAGCTGTTTTTTTTTTTTTTTTTTTCAAAATAGTTACGTCACAGCAGTTTTGCATCTTCTAAAACCTACTCCTGTGAACTCTTTGACTCCTAAGAGAGACTGGGATCTAATTTCTCTCGTTGGCATCACAGCCGAATCAAACATAATTGATGTAAAGAGAATAAAGGATATGACGGAGAAGATTTTCATCGATTCTCCATGTCAGTTCTATAGGAAAATTCATTACTTGACCAGGGAATTCCGCATTAAATTGCATGCGAAAACCGATATCGTAAGAATCGCGAAGCGATGAGTGCGATATCGGTTTTCAAGTGCAATGTAGGGCCTGATTACATGACCTGGGCTGGCCCTGTTAGCCGGGCTGATGTCTTTTGTTTTGGTGTTCGCCAAAGCGTGAAAACAAAAGAAATCAGCTCGGCTAACCGGGCCAGCTCGGCTCATGTAATCAGGCCCTTAATGCGGAATTCACGAGTGAGGTAAATATAGAATACTTCATGGAAGTGCGCGCGTACGGTGTTTACACACGAGTTGTGGCGTATCAGAAATCGAACAAGTGAGATTTCTGATACAAAATAACCGTGTGCCGTGTAAACACCGTACAAAGCACTTTCCATGTTTGTTATATACATACTGAGATTGAACACCCTCCTTAAATTATGACAAGCTTTATTTAAACAAATGTGGTCAAACAACAATCACTGAAAGAAAGCAGCTTCGTAAAAAGGGAAGGAGCTGAAATAAAATCCAAAATTCATGAGTCCAAAAGTTGTGAATCGTGGATAACGAAACGCTTTTCGCTCATGGCTTTCGTCGAGACAGGAACTTTCAATATTAACGATGGAAGAAATGCGAATAAAAACTATTTCCAAAGCTATGGCTTGTGCGGTATACAAAATGCGGTGTGTAAAGTCCAAAAGTTATGAATCGTGGATAACGAAACGCTTTTCACTCATGGCTTTCGCCGAGACAGGAACTTTCAATATTAACAATGGAAGAAATGCGAATAAAAACTATTTGCAAAGCGATGGCTTGTG